GGTGAAGATCTGTTCCTGACTTCTTGCCAAATAATTGTTGCTCCAGCGTAGCATTTGGAAGATATCGGCCTGGCAACTCTCCAAGCCTGATAAAGGTCTGTAGTTGTGAAATATCATGAAAGAGTGTTTGCTGGGACTTTGCTGGAGAGGAATTTCCCTTTATCCTAAATAAAGAGGATATCAGGATGAGGAGTCTGCTTCATGCTCTTGGGAAGCCTAGATCAGAACAATTAAAATGACCCTACGCAAAAGGTGCTAGGTTTGAACTATCACGCCAGCAATAGACAATCCTGAATAGCATTCGCACCTCACATAATGTCTGCCGGGATTCTCTAGAATTAGAATTAGAATTCTTTATTGGCCAAGTGTGATTGGACACACAAGGAATTTGTCTTCGGTGCATAAGCTCTCAGTGTCCATAAGTGATAAATCATGATCATAGTCATAAAAATAAATTCATCATAAATCATAAGAACTTAGTGATAGTCATAGGATACTAAATAAGCAATCAACATAAATCGGACTAGGGAACTAAATACAAGAATATGAATCGTAAAGATACAAGCAACAAAGTTATAGCCATAAGTAGAAAAGGAGATAGGTAATAGGAAAGATGAGAAGAATAGTAGTAATACAATCTTTCTAAGTAGTTTGACAGTGTTGTGGGAATTAGTTGTTTACCAGTTCGGACAGGTGGTTCCAGAGATGCTGAGAGTGATGGCATGGGAGAAAAATTTGTCCTTGTGTCTCGTTGTTCTGGTGTGCAGTGCTCTATAGCCTCGTTTTGAGGGTAGGAGTTGAAACAGTTTATGTCCAGGATGTGAGGAGTCTGTAAATATTTTCACAGCCCTCTTTTTGACTTGTGAAGTATGCAGGTCCTCAGTGGAAGGCAGGTTGGTAGCCATTTTTTTTTCTGCAGTTCTAATGATCCTCTGAAGTCTGTGTCCGTCTTGTTGGGTTGCAGAGCCAAACCAGACAGTTACAGAGGTGCAGATGACAGACTCCATAATTCCTCTGTAGGACTCAGCAACTCCATTATATAAATTGGGCATAGCATCCTCCCCTCGGGGATTGTGAGGTCCCACGTCAAACTGTAGATCACATCATGACTGGCAGTAAGATGAGTGCATATATTGGTCTAGTATCTTATTTATTTATTTTTAATATAAACAATACTGCACTTCAATTGTTAGATGGCCTAGACATTGCTATCTGAATATAGATCTTTTTAACATCGGTAGAATAGAATTAGAGTGGAATGGAGTGGAGTGGAGTGGAGTGGAATGGAATGGAATGGAATGGAATGGAATGGAATAGAATAGAATAGAATAGAATAGAATAGAATAGAATAGAATAGAATGAATAGAATAGAATAGAATAGAATAGAATAGAATAGAATAGAATAACAGAGTTGGAAGGGACCTTGGAGGTCAACCCCCTGCTTAGGCAGGAAACCCTACACCACTTCAGACAAATGGTTATCCAACATCTTATTTTATTTTATTATGTATTTTATTATGTATTTTTTTTAAATCTAGGTGTAATGTTAATATATATTGCAAGCTCATGCGAGAAATGCCACATGCTAAATAATAAATATGAATTGGACTGACAGATGCATAAATCAACCTGCAAAAATCTCAAAGGTGCTTTTTCAAAAGGCGACTGGACTGTTTTATTGCAGGATCCAATCTGGGTCAATTACTGGGACCAGAGGTTTTGTCTTCCAAGCTTTCGGATTTGTGCTGGAGCCCATCTTACTTTCTAGCAGAGTGTGTGCTATTGTCAGGTCATCTGCTGGGACGCAGATGATGGAGGAGGAGGAGGGAGGAGGCTATTGGGGTTGTGTTCTTTGCATGCTTTCACTTTTTGCTGTAACCGTGTGGGATTTAGGGAGGGGGACTATCCTGAAGATAGATGGGCTTCCTCCCAGCCGGTTCTAGCCTGACACCAAGGTCGCAGAGTCCTGGGAATGAACTGCTGTCAAGCTAACACCTCAGAGTTCTCAAAACACCTATATGACACTGCATTGGCTACCAGTAGACTGGCAAAGTGGGGTGGAGTTTGAATTGGGAAGAATAGCTTAATGCTTTGCGCGGGAACTTCAGATACCGCCTGACTCCTCTGCAATCCCTTTCGCTCAGTAAAAGTTGCTTTCGATAACTGTTTCAGGAGTCATGCTTTCCCGAGGGAGTAGCTGAAGCAGGTCCTTACAACTATCATATTCAAAATGGAGGGCTGATTCTATGTAAACCAGGAGTGTCAAACTCGCTTCGTCACGTTGTCGTCACGTGACATATCGCAACTTTTTTTCCTCTTTGCTAAAATGGGGGTGGGGGTGGCCAGTGCATGACACATCCGGCCCGCAGGCTGTGAGTTTAACACCCCTGATGTAAACCAACAAACATCAAAGACAGCGGTGAAATGCTCTGAAGTCTACCAGTTCGCTTCGCTACCAGTTTGCTTTGTGCATGCACAGTGCGCAGTGTATGCCAAACATGCGCTTCGTGTGCAGGCGCAGTGCAGGCGCTATCACGCAGCACTGAAAAAGGAGGATTAAGAAGCCTTTTCTGGTAAGCAGAATAGCGAGGGGGCGGGAACAGCTGTGCCGCGTGATTTAGATTTGCTAGAAAGCAGGATTTCCTGATAAATTGCGCGGCACAGCTGATTGTCGGAAATACTGGTTCGCCCAAACTGGTAGCATTTTTTTTTTACTACTGGTTCGCCCGAACTGGCCCGAACCGGTAGCATTTCACCCCTGATCAGAGACTAAAACTGGAAATCTCAGTGTTGTGTCTTCTCTATGTAAAATTGTTTGGCACTGCAATCTATACCTTGCATACTTGTTTCAATTGTTGTCATTTTGCAGTTTCAAAAAGCGACCTTCCAATGGGGCGTCTCTGGATTTCTCTAAAGACAAGCCTTTAATATATTTTGGCAGGGTCCAGGTCCACGCTCCAGTTCAGGAGATATTAGCGAGAATTTTCCATATGTATTTGTGTGCAGTGCTAGAGTTGCGTGTGGTCATGAGACAAATTCATCCCACAGTTTTGTTGCTGCTACAGTTCTTACCTTTCTTAGAGCCAACTGTCAACTTGGCAGTTAAAATATCACAGGGGGAAGATAGAGTAGCCGAAGTATTTATGCTTCAACATTCTTGTGCCTCATTAGTCACAAAGCACAATGGAAAAAATGGAAAAAATGCTGGGTTCATAAGGAAGCTGGAAATGTGCAGAATTACAGATGAGAAGAAAAAAAAATAACCCACCTCCCCAAACTGGCACGTATTAAAATGTCTATTTCTTTAGAGACAGTTTGCAAGTCAGAAAAACAAAATTAGGAAGGTGGCTTCTGTTATTGCAGAAAATTATTCACCTCAAAACAATGTCATGAATGTAAAACACTCCCTGTGAAATAAATAGGGCTCCAAGAGAGCCACATAATTTTATTTTCTAAAAGGAATTTCAATACAGATCGGAACTATCAAAAGTTTGGATCCCTCATAAAAGAAAACGTTCTAAACTACCCATAACATTTTGCTATTTTATGATACAGTTTTATGCATGATTTTTTTAAAAAAAGCAGCAAAGGGGACATCTTTAGATCATAATTGGAACTTGCACGCACAGTACGTACCGCTGCAAAAACATCTGTCTGTACTTCCTGCATGTTTCTTCTTCTTATGGTCTAAACATCTGGCCGACTGTGCGACCAAAAGTAAAAATTATATCCAATCCGTGGATGAATTGTAACAATTTGGATGCTTGGTGTTCAACAAGTGAATTTGAGTTTCTGACTAATTAATCTGGAATTAAATCCAAATGGGATTATTTCAAGAGAGGAGGCCAAAACGTTCGTGAAGGCATCAATATCCGTACACTCAAAGCATGTAGAATAGGGGTGTCAAACTCAATTTCATTGAGGGCTGCATCAGGGTTGTACTTGACCTTGGGGTGTGTGTGGGGGGGGGGGGGGGGCGGGGGGGGGGGGGGTGTGGCCAGGGGTGGGCATGGCCAACTCGATGTCACATTGAGGTTCCATTTTTGGCCGCGACGGCCTCCTGCAGCCCTCTGCCAGTGAAAACAAAGATCAGGGAGGCAGTGTGTGGCCCACCTGGGCTCCGTTTTCAGCTGCGACGGCCTCCTGCAATGCTCTGCCAGCAAAAATGGAGCTCGGGTGGACCTCCCCAGGCTCCATTTGCACTGGCAGAGAGCTACAGGAGGCCGTCGCGGTCGAAATCGGAGCTCCATGTTTGCTGGCAGAGGCACCACGGACATGTCCTTCTCTGTTTCCAGGGTGGCCATGCAGGCCAGATCTAAGCACTCCGCAGGCCGCATCTGACCCGCTGGCCTTGAGTTTGACACCCCTGATATAGAAAGAGGGATAAGTGTGGTTGAAGACAGTCCGCCATCTTGAAATTTTGATCCCACTGAAAATCCTCTTCTCCAAAGCAGCAAAACCAGCACAAAACCTTTTTACTGTATGTAGAACATAAATTATATCTTGGAGGAACAGGAAAAAAAAAATGCCAATCAGATGTAAATTTCCAAAAGATGAGTTCTGGAAAAAAGAGAAAGCAATATTCTTTATCCTTTAAACAGCTACATCACATCATAGCACTAGGACTTAGATTTATATACCGCTTTGCAGCCCTCTCTAAGCGGTTTACAGAGTCAACATATTGCCCCCCAACAATCTGGGTCCTCATTTTATCGACCTCAGCAGAGCCTCTGCCGATCAGGCAACTCAGCTTGGATCGTCAGAGCCTTTTGAAAGCATTTTTTTACAACCTCTTCGCCGAAGAGGTTGTAGAAAAAATGGTTTTAAAAGTAAAAAAAAAAAAATTGGCCACGCCCACCCAGTCATATTATCCCCCCCATCAAGCCATGCCCACAGAACCGGTAGTAACAAATTTTAGATTTCACCACTGACCCACACAAACACACTTCATACACACATTTAAAAAGACTCACCGAAGAAGAAATATACTGAACACGGGATTATTTGGTAAAGAATAATTTTCACAGTAACAAGCATTAAAAGCACTAAGCTGCTCAATTATTTCATCCTGTAAATCATTAACACACACACATATATAATATATTGAGAAACGCAAGGGAAAAAAATTAAAATTTATACCCCAAAGTGAACAATTACATTAGTATTAGCTCCTCTGTTCCTTTTATACATCTACAAAAAGCCATGGAAATGTCAGAGGCTCTTACATTTCTATAACTTGACTGCATCATTGAAAGCCGGGGTGGACATGCCACTTAGAGACCAACCTGCCTTCCTACGGCTCCAATGCCTTCTGAGATGTTGCCACTGGAATTTGCCCAAAAGTGGCCAATTCTTAGTGGTGTGTGGAACAGCCCAAATTAAGAATGTATACGTCCAAAAGCCACCCCAAATATTACATTTCTCCAAACCCTTTGAAACATAAAAGAGAATAAAACATTCAACATCTTCTCCGAACCCCCAACAAATCACAGTGCCATCAGAAATCTGAAAAGGTTTCATGGAACTTATTTTATAGTCTAAGGAAGGGGTCTCCAACCTTGGCAACTTTAAGACTTGTGGACTTCAACTCCCAGAGTTCTGGGAGTTGAAGTCCACAAGTCTTAAAGTTGCCAAGGTTGGAGACCCCTGGTTTAAGGGACACCATTGTCCTTACAGATCATAATGTATTTTAGAGCAAGGTTTCTCACTCATGGAAACTTTCAGATGTGTGGACTTCAACTCCCAGAATTCCCCAGACAGCATGGGTTCTGGGAGTGAATGAATTCTGGGAGTTGAAGTCCACACGTCTTCACGTTCCCAAGGTTGGGTAATTTTGCTTTACAGTTACTAAACAATCTCCCAATCTGTTGCTGTTTTCAAGTATTGTTATTTCCTTGCATGAATTAAGGTGATATAATCCTAATTTATAAGAACAATAGAAGTAATAACAGAACAGATTTGGCTTCCCAGCTAGTAGGGAATCTTAAGGCAAACCATGAAACTGAAAAGACATGTTTTTTTTTTTTTCCATGAAAAGACACAAACATAGAGAATGCAATAGGCCATTTTGGAACAGATGCAAATAAATAATAAGGCGTTTCAATTCCAGTTGTTCTTTGAACGTCTCCAATTAGTGTTTTTAATTCGGATGAGAGTTTGTTTTATTTCTGACATTAAAAAATCTGTTATTCCATTTGATGAATGCCGGTTAAGTATGACATAAAGAGCAAAAGCTGTGCTGCCTCCAGACTTAAGTTTGTAAGCTTAGGTTTGTAAAGGACAAGTGTACCTACTCTGTTGCTGGGAATATGTGGCTTTACTGAGATTTGCCAATGATTGCATTTCTTGTTAAAACTATGCGGGAGCCATTGGCACTCATTAGCTTTGCCAAGATTTCACACAACCTGTTGTGGCCTTTGGCCGCCAGCCCCTCCAACAGCCGAATCAGATGAGGAGGAGGCGTGGGAGTCAGGATAGCATCAAGGCAACCTGAGAGCTCTGAGGGGGAAGAGGAAATGGAGCTGGCAGAGAGAGGGAGGGAGGGAGGGAGGGAGGGAGAGAGAGAGAGAGAGGGAGGGAGGGAGGGAGAGAGAGAGAGAGAGAGAGAGAGAGAGCCCTCAGTTGGAGAGGCAACAGCCCCCAGGTCTGGAGGTGGCTGATGAGGAGAGGAGGAACAGCTGGGTCCAGTGCCTGACGCGCGAATGCACAGAAGGCAGAGGAGAGGAGAGCAGTGGAAATCTATGGGCCGGTCCTTGGGACGGAAGAGCCACCGCTGCTAGAGAAACCCCACCCTAACTCTGGGGATAAAAGGCAGGGGGCGGAGATGAATAGATGTGGCAGACAACTATTCATCTCCCTGCTGGACAGACTTGTTAGCCTGCGGTGTGAGAGAAACATTTTGCCGGGGCTGCTGGCGCTCCTAGTAAAGAAATCATTGATTTAACTACAGAGGTTTTGTCATGTTTGAGGAGCTGGGACCGAAAACAACCCTTAGCTTTACAAGGACAGCAGTATGATTCTGAACATCTAACCAAAACAATACGAGACCGGCTGATGGATCCCACTTCTCCGTCTAGTCTCCAGCATCTTTGAGAGAAGTGCTTAACGGTATGGAATCCTTTCCTTCTGTCTCCGGTGCTGTGACTTCTTCCCTCAGCAAACAGTTCAGCTGCTTCTGAGCGCAAGAGAGGAACAATTCCAAACTGGAAAGGCTACGCTGACGGATCACTTGATCCAGCTGTCAGGACGAGAAAAAGCACACATGAAGCAAAATGCAAGGGAATTCCAAAGAAAAACACACCCCTTGATTTAAACTCGCGAGACGGGAAGGCATAGGACTCGGGTAATGCACAGGGGCTTAATGTAACCTATCATAATTGGCGTAATTGCTTCTAGCTCCAGTCGTTCAAAGCTAAACCAAAAACTGAGGCTGTTATATTCCCCAGCTTCATTATTACAAGGAAGAAGTCTCAGATCATCTCTAGATTAGTGGTTTTTCAACCTCAGCAACTTTTAAGATGTGTGGACTTCAACACTCAGAATTCCCTATTCCTCATCACCAAAGATTTGGCACGTCGCATAGTATCAAGTTTCCTGGGCAGAACTGTAAGATAGTTTAATAAAATATTGGGGGAAATTTACTATTACTAAGTAATAAGTCTGCATTACTAAATCTGTATTACTTAGTAATACAGACTTAGATTACTAAGATTACTTACTAACTCTGCATTACTATTAATGGGAGCCTGAGTGGCGTAGGAGGCTAATGCCTCCTAAGGCAGCATTTAACATCCAGCTGCCTGCAATTACTCCGAGTTCAATTCTCACCAGGTTCAAGGTCGACTCAGCCTTCCATCCTTTCTAAGGTGGGTAAATTGAGGACCCAGTTTGTGGGGGCAATAAGCTGACTTTGTATAAAATATACAAAAGTATGAAGGCTATTGCTTAACGCATTGTAAGCCGCCCTGAGTCTCCGGAGAAGGGCGGCATATAAATCAAATTAAAAAAAAAAATCTTCTCATCATTCCTATCACCCATCTCCTCCCACTTATGACTGTATGACTGTAACCTTGTTGTGGGTATCCTTACGATTTATACTGACTGTTTCCTAGTATGATTTGATTGCTTATTTGTTCCCTATGACTATCATTAAGTGTTGTACCTTATAATTCTTGACGAATGTATCTTTTCTTTTATGTACACTGAGAGGCTATTATTATTATTATTATTATTATTATTATTATTATTATTATTATTTATTAATCATATTTCTATGCCGCCCACTCTCCGAGGATTCTGGGCGGCTTACAACAATCGACAGTATACTAAATAGCATATTGCCCCCAACAATCTGGGTCCTCATTTTACCCACCTCGGAAGGATGGAAGGCTGAGTCAACCTTGAGCCGGTGAGATTTGATCCGCTGATCTGCTGAACTAGCAGTCAGCTGAAGTAGCTGCAGTACAGCACTCTAACCACTGCACCACCTCGGCTCTGTGTATTGGGTATGCACCAAGACAAATTCCTTGTGTGTCCAATCACACTTGGCCAATAAAGAATTCTATTCTATTCTATTCTATTCTATTCTATTCTATTCTATTCTATTCTATTCTATTCTATTCTATTCTATTCTATTCTATTCTATTCTATTCTGACTTTTCCTTCTCTTTCCTCTGCCTTTTTTAACTCATCTTTTTGCTACTGATTTCCCACAATTGAGGAATCTTGGAATTAATAAAACAGTTTCTTAGGGATTCTCAAACCATTTTCAGGATTCTAGAAGGCCTTTTTTTTTGGTTTCATTCATAATTATACATAATAGAAAAATACATAATGACAATCATTAATAAAATGACTTTCTTTTCTCTCAAAAACTCCCCCCCCCCAAGTTATTTGGAACATAGTCACAGAGTCTTTTCATTAACATTTTGGATGCAATTGATTGCTCCAAACTCTTTAATCTGATTTTGCTGGAATACTGTATATAAAAATACTGGGCTGACATCATCTGTAGAACCCTTGTACACAACCTTCCAGCTTGGATTCTAGGAGTTCGAAGTAAGTAAGTAGATAATTGCTTTAAGTCTGGCAAGATTCTGTCTATAGGATAATAACAAGAAAGAAAGAATTCAAAGATACTGGACTAAAATCCACACATGGTTGGAGAAAATGATTAAAAAGCACATTGACTTTAAACCAGAGATTTTTTTTATTAGTTTAGTTTGTTTAGTTTAATGCGATTTATATGCCGCCCTATCTCCAATGGACTCAGGGCGGCTCACAACAATAAAATGCACAATTGCACCTTAAAACAATATAAAATTAAAAGTCCAAATTAAAACAATTTAAAATCTATTTAAAATCTATTAAGAACCCACCCACCCCCATCAGTAGTCCAGGCTGTGAAACAGCCAGGTCTTCAAATCACGGCGGAACGAGCGAAGGTCATTAGGGATCTTACCAGAAACATACAATAGAAAACTGAGTTACTTGATGGTGAATCAAGTAACTAGATTCAAGCGGCTAGAATTGTGTTTGCTAAAAATTGGAAAAATGAGGAAATACCTAAACAAGATGAAGTCATTAGGAAAATTATGGAATGTGCTGAAATGAGCAAATTAACATTTGAAATTAGAGAACAGGAAGGACAAACAATATTATAAGATATGGGATTTGTTTTATCAATGGCTAGATAATAAAACACGGAAATGAAATATGAAATAGATGCTACAATACAATATATGGAAATGATTTGAATGGGATGGAAATGCCATTGTTAGATGAATGATAAATGAGAATCATGATATAAAGATATATAGTTGTACCTTATAGTTAGATTGATAATATGAAAAATTAGAGAATTAGTAAATGATGAATATGAGATGAAGCACAAAAAAATTGTAACCGACCAACACACTACTTGCAATTGGATTGGATGATGGATGTTTTTATGTTTTGTTTAAAAATAAAAAAGAAAGAAAGAAAGAAAGAAAGAAAGAAAGAAAGAAAGAAAGAAAGAAAGAAAGAAAGAAAGAAAGAAAGAAAGAAAGAAAGAAATCAGAAGTAACCCATATATTGTTCTTGATTCTTTGGGCCTGACAGCTCTGGTCAAAGAGCAATAACTATTTGCAAGGCAGGAGAACGGTTCTCCTCCTTGTCCCGTCCCCCCCAAAAATGGATTATTTTATGGGGAGATGGAATGTATGACAACATATAGGCACACGTACAGAATCAGTTTTCTTTTCAAAGTAAAAACAAAGGCCCACATTGCACAATACATCCTTTATAAAGGAGGTTTATTTTGCTTTACACAAAGCATCCAATCAAGTTAATTTTCAAGGAAACACCTCACCCCAATGTTTCTTTTGCTTTCCCTAAAAAGGAATTTCTTAAAATATGTTATGCCGTTTAAGGCTGAAATAAAAGATGCTCTTAAAACAGTTTGAAATACCAGTATTTTATTACAGTTTATCGGAATGCTGCACGTTTGCGCAATTTAATAGTTGTTTTGTTTTCTACTCCTTTAAATACGGGAGTGATTTCGCTAATGTCCTGCTCCGTGACAGCCATTTTCTCTTGGGGCCTGTGATGGAATCTCCAGCTAGAATGGGGGAAGGTAAGAAGAGGGGGTGTCAACCCCGGACTGCCAGATGGCCCGAGGCTGCCATTTGGGCGGGGGAGGAGTGGCTGCGCGCGCATGGGCATCAACGGCCACGCCACCATGGTGTCCTGGCAGGGAGAAGTCGCTGCCCAAGACACACACCTACGGCCTGCATTGCCTCGCTCCTCCATCCATGGGGCTGCCACCTGGCTAGAGGGGCCCAGACTTTGCCTGGCTGATCACTCTGGCATCCGCGGGGCTGCTGCCTGCCCAACGGGGCTCTGATTGTAACTGGCTACTTGCAAAACAGCTGATTGTCGTCTCATGGAAACAGCTGATTGTCGGAGCATGGGAAGAAGCAGGGAACCAAGCAGGATGGGCCAGGATGGGCGGCTAGGGGCGTGGCCGGACTGCGGCGGCTGTATTAGCAGCAAGCAGTCTTGGGAGGGGCGAGGTGTACACACAAGGGAGGTGGAGCACATATAAGGGGCGGGTGAACTAACCACGGTAGCACAAACTTTGATTCCTTTTGGGTGGTTGCTTCGTGCCGGGTCCGCGTTTCCAGATAAACAATCTAACATCAACTTGTGTTGCTGGCTTTTCTTACCCGGGACACCGGAATGTGACAGGGGGATGCGCTTAGAGTCCTTGCACTGTAGGAAGTGGATCAGAACCTTCCTCTCCCAGAATCCCTTGTTTGACTGTTCCAAAGAAAATGGATCATCCCTTTATCACTATGTGACATGATGCACCCACTCTGGCCAAAGAGAAAGCCGCACCAGTTCATCCCACACAATGGCTTCCTTTAAATCCCGTCTTTCATCTTCGGAGCTGACTTGGTTTTTTTTTCAAGCGAGAGCAAGCAGCGGCGTGAAAACGCTCCTAGAATCTCCGCGTAAATGTTTCTTTAATCCTAGTAAAAAAAAAAGAAAAACCACCACAAAACAGGCTTGGCTGAACAAGTAGGAAACTGAGCTCCAGAACTTTCCATGACCTCGTCTGCGCTGTCACTCTTGGCACCGATTGGCTGGTCATAAGGTCACCCTTAAGATGGGTTAAGTGACAAACACAAACGTGTTCAGATGTATCAGTTGGACCTATCTGTGTTCTGCGGCATTGAATGTTTGCAGTGCTCTGATCGCTAGGAATTGCTACAGATCTCCAGGGGTGAAGATAGATTACACAGCTCTTTGCAGGAATTTAAGCTCCCAACGTTTTGCACACTAAGAGGCCAATTTCCCAGTTGTTTATTGTTATTATTTGAAAGTATTTGAAGAGTGGGTAAAAGGTAGAACCATGGGAAAAACATGCAAGGTGAAAGAAGATCTTCTCTGAAAGCTCTTGAGATGCCACCACGCCCTTCAGAGAAACCAAGGAATAGTCCTTTTTTAGCATGTCTCAGTGTCCAGTGTTGGATGGATGGACTACTCTTTGAGAAAGGCTGCAGGATTGGGGTTTGGCTAGTCTAAAGAAAAGAAGAATTAGGGGTGACATGATAGCAGTATTCCAGTATTTGAGGAGCTGCCACAAAGAAGAGGGGGGTCAAATTATTCTCCAAAGCACCTGAAGGAAGGACAAGAAACAAGGGATGGAAAATAATCAAGGAGAGAAGCAACCTGGAATGAAGGAGAAACTTC